AATATCGATTCAATTTTAAAAATTGGAAGATTTAGTTGTTGTTATTGCAAGAGCTTAAACTATATAATTTTAATCCAGGTGTTCGGTAATAAGGTCCAAACCAAGAAATTGGACTAATTCTACAGGATTAGTCCATAAATCCATTGGTTTAGGGTGGATTGGCCAGTTGAATATGTGGTGGCTATATATCATGGGGACCCTGACCACAAGCTAGGCATGTATTGGGGACGGAACGGTCTATGCGGGAGCCTAAGGTCTAATGCGTTGAGCCTTTTGCTCCATCCCGATCTCAGTTGTGCTAGAACAACTATTGTTTTCCTCGACAGGTTCTTCTCTATTTCTGTTATAGGCGGTGGGCGACCTCTAAGAACAATATTCATGCAAGAGCCTAAAACTGAGGTATTGATGGCGTCTCTATGAATATCGTTCAAATCTGCTGTATACGAATAAGATCCAAGGGATCCTGCACATATCTTCGTATGCTCTGAGGTTTGTTACTTGCTCATCCGTAGGACAGCAACGAATAATGTCATACTCAAGAAGCATAATTAACCACCAATTGTGTTAGAAGTAGTTAACAAGGTTAATTTGTCCATTCCCTAAGTACTGCCAGCAAGCGCTTTGGCGACCTTGTTTCTACTGAGGCTGAGGAAGTGAACATGCTGCAAAGGTGAACCACAGTTCACAGTCTGTTACACTTAATGGAGTCCTTTTTGGAACATGGATTCCAAACCCTAATTTTGGACGAAATTCTGGTGAATAATTTTTTTAAAACGTACTTTTTATACAAATGAAGTACTATTCACAAAAGTACAATTTGCTAAAATTTTAACGTCCCGATTGAATCGGAATATATATGAGGGAATTCTTTGGTACATTTTGGTTCTTTAACTGGTACTTTTAAAATTGTGCACTTTTTGTACGTTTATTCATTAAAATGGATATTTATATGAAAAACCTCAAATCGACTGTAAATAGATCCCAAAATAAAATCCTAATTAAGAAAATAATAAAAATATAACCAATTCAGATTAAGAGTAGCGTGAACAATTCAAATTAATCATCATAATATCCTAATAACTTAGCACTTCACCCACGCATTGTATATATTTTGACTTAAGGCACCAAATTAAGATGAACGTTCTTATAACCCTTGACTTGTTACCATTTGCTGTTATTGTTGTTGTCGTTACTCTCTAGTAGTTGTTACTTTTGTTGGGTCGTTATTGTTGTTGTTGTTGTTGTTGTTATTGCTATTGTTATTATTACTGCTGCTGTTATTGTTGTTACTATTATTGCAATTGTTGTCATCGACGTTGTTGTTGTTGTGTATACTTTTGTATTGCACTTAAAATATAAGTTAAACAAACACAATCAGGATAAATTTTATGCAATTTATGCAAATATTTGCAATTTTAGATAAAACGGTGATTTCAAAATTCTACACTTTTAATACTCAAAAATAAAAGAAGAGAACAGAAAAAAAGCAATGACAACCACGACAGCAAAATTAAAATATATTTTTGAACAACAGCAAACCAAAATTAATACAAACGAGCACAAGGATATTTTCTATATGTATATATGAATATGTATAATTTTCATTTTCACAGTTTCAGTTTTTTAAACATGAATGAATTGAATTGATTGTTGGTCGGTCGGTTAGTTGGTCTCTTGTTTGTTCATGGATTTTTATCAATTTGTGGTTCAGTTGCTCGTGTGTTTGCTGGTATTTTGTTTTATAATTATTTTTATTATTTTTAATGTTAAGGGCGAGGACAGCTATAAATTGAGCTGTAAGATAAACATGATTCCATTTTACTGTGTTCTTGTTGAGCTTTGTATATGTTACAAAAATTAAAAGAGAACGTAAGAAAACAAAATCACTTTGATTATTTTTTGTATATATTTTTCTATAAAAAAGGATCTTCTTGATTGCAGCTAGCTTGTGATTCTGTCGTACGTATTGACATTGAACGTTAAAAAGATAAAAAGGAAATTATAAAAACATAGCAACTAGCGTCAAAATATCTTAACCAATCTTAATTATATGGGAAAAATGTTGGTTGCAAAATTTGTTTTTTAATTGCTCTTTAATTGTTTCAGTTTAGTAAAGATTTTTAATTTGCAATGCAAATTAATAAAATATCTTTTATTTAAATACATACATACATACATGTTTCTTAATTGATGTGCCAGAATAAAAAAATAACAAATTAATAAAATAAATTATTTTTAATTTATGTAAATATTTTTAATATTTAAGCTATTGTCAACATAAGAAAAGAGCTTTTATGGTTAATTAGTAGTAGTCTTATACACTAATACACAAGCTGATTGTAGTTGCTTAGACGAGCTCATATACTTCACAACTCCATGACCGGTACATCCCCTACTGCCCTCTCAACTTCTGACAAATAGCGCAAGCTGTATCAAGCGAAAGTTGTGTTTAAAATTAGAATTCTAGGCAACTATAGTGGGGTAGGTATTATGAGTTTGTGCTGAATAGAAAATAGAAATCTAGACCTACCAATCGGCTCTAAATCATTTTTTGAATCGATTTAGCGATGTCCGTCTGTCTGTCTGTCTAACTATCTGTTTTTTTGTCTGTCCGTCCATTTAAACCTTGTAATCAAACTACAGGTCGTAATTTTCAAGATAATTATGGGGTCATCTACAAAAATTGCCACAACTTATATAGTAAGAACAAATAATACTACTGACTACCGTAATTATCGGTCCTCATTTGACTATATTCCCCATACAGAGTACCATTCAGAAATTTGTTTGAACGTCCTTAATTTCATTATTAACACTTTTATTACAATTTGGCGTACCTAACACTTTTTCAAAATAAAATCCTTGACTAATCCTTGACTAGATATAATTTTTAATTTAATTTCTTAACGATTAGTCCGCTTTGAATGAAATTTAAATGCATAAAAGGATAGTGGGGCCAGTGGTTCTCAACGTTGGATACCTACTATTAATAGGAAAAAATATTAAAATCGTATAGAACTACTGAGCACAAACATGTAATGAGTACTCCGCAAGGGAATAGGACTGGTCCAAAACTAATTCAAATATTTGAAAAAAAAAACATGCTTCTAGTTGAGAACCATGAAATCCAAACATACATTACACCATTTTGGTAATCCCAAATTACTCTCCTGCATTACATGGGACCATGTGAATCATGTAGGTACTCCCCTATTTTTTCAAAGAAGTAGTTTTGGGATTTCCTAAATGGATCGACTTTTAAGGACCAAATATACATATGGTTTCTTTGTAGAAAATAAGGACCTAAGAAAAAAATAAGAAACCATAAACAGATTAAAATGACAGATTTCATAATATATTACTGAAATTCCTCAAATGTTCTTAGGTTCGGATAGGTTGATAGGAGGGTGTATACTACATCAAATCCGACAAAATGCGCTCCTTATCATGAAAAAAAAGTTCACTGAATGAATTATTTTTCAGTGTTCAGAAACTCAGTTTCCTAAACGTAATTCCTAAGAATCTTCCAATTAGTGTTAGTCAGGAATGTTATTTCCGAAATAATATCACTTCCATCACTTGGAACTAACTTCGACGAATACCTGGCAGTGGCAAAAAAAAGTGCTCCAGAGTTTCATTGTCCTCTTCACATGCTTGACATTCGTCTGAATCCGCACATCCAATTTTACATAGATGTGCTCGTAATCTTGTGTGTCCAATCAGAATGTCATCATACTAACTTCATACCTTCTCATTTTTACTAGATTTTTCGTCTTGCTCTCATCAGGGTCACTCCATACACTCTCATCCATATTTTTAGTTCAGCTTTTGTTGCGTCGAATGGTTTTGCGTTTGTCAGGTTAACTGCCTCGAGCTCCCTTCCCCTTAAAGCTATTACATTCGCCCTTTCGTTGGCGACTAATCCCGTGTGGGCGGGTACCCATATGATGTAAATCTTACCTATGGGAGAGTATTCAGTTAAAGCTTTCTTACAATCTAATACGGTCTTAGATTTAGTACTATCAACTAATATCGCCCTAATTTACGCATTCCGTTATTGCTCGTACTTCTGCTTGGAAGCTTGTGTTACGATTAGGTAAACGGTGGTATATTTCTGTTTCTGGGGTTTCAACACCCAAGCAGCATGTACGCTGAACTCCCTGTAGTAGTTTGATATTGCACTTTTTGTCTAAGGCAGCTCACCAGATTATTGAAGCATAAGCTAGAATTGGTCTAATTACACTTTTATAAAGCCAATTTGTCATAGTATGACTAAGACCCCATTTCATGCCTATTGTTCTCCTACATATCGCCCAGCACCGATGTGCCTAGTTGATCCTATCCTCTATGTGCTGTCTCCATTTTATGTTTTTAAATATTTAAAAAAAATTATCTTTATCTTTAAAAAAATAAAAATAAAAAAATATATGTTTTGATCAACAGACGTGACCAACAATTTTGGAATTTACAATCCAAAACAAACAAAACCTGTAGCCCATAGATTCAAATGTATTCTTTAGAAACTGCCTTTTTGAATCGACTTTAATTAAAACCTGAAATTATATATTTTTTTCGCAACAACAGGTCACATTACTCATACCACCTGTGGTCAGCATGCCACATTAAAAAACCAACATTTTTTTTGGTATTAAATAAAAACTGAAAAATAATACTATAATTTAATTGAAAAAAATTAAACAATAAAAATAAATTACTAGAAATTAATACAGGCATGTGCATGTAAAACATATTAATTTCTTTTTGACACCTGTAGTTAAACAACAATTCAATTTAGTTTTTGTTAAAACAATTTTTATTTATTTAATTGAATTTTTCTTTTTTTTAGTTTTTTAGTTTGAGTTACATTTAAAATTTTAAAATTGACATCACATATCTACACACATTTAACATTTAATTATATATTTTATAATAGTTATAAGTATTTCGTTTTATTTGATTTTTCTGCTTTATTAGTTTGTTGTCTGTAATTTAATTTTAGCAAAAAAAAAAAAGGAAAATAAATTTGTTTTAAATATGATATTTGGCAAAATACACTTAAAAAAATAAACTATAATTAGTTTAAAGCCTAAACGGAAAAAATATTGGTTTTGTATCCACCTTAAATGGTAAATATCGACTCGTATAGCTTACAAGTTAGAGGCTGAGAGATCTATATCGAAATATGTTTATTTAGTACTTTTCTTCATCAGGTACATCTGTAATAGTTTAGGGAATATAAGGATTTTTCACAATAAATCTGACGATATATCATGGTCAAATCTTAAATAGTTTGTCCTGCACCTCATTTAACTATGATAGGTATCGAGTGTTATACATTTTACAAATTACAAATACATTGCTAAATTCATCTGCTCGTGAAAATATAAATTGATGTAAAGAGACTGCAATCAGGAACCTGGATTCCGTAATGTTTTAGAAAGTGATCAAGTTGATAAATGTCTGACTGATCTCAGAGATCACATGTTTTTCAGTGACTCGTGGGAATGTTGATGGATAAACTTTTAATATATCTAAAGAAACTTTTTGACTGATCTAGCATTTAAATAAAGAACTTTATTCATTAAAGTCAGAGAGAGAGTTTACGCTGGGGATGGTAAGGTGAATGTGTTCCGTCCATAGTTTCAGTATAATAATTTAAAAATTAACATTCTCGTACAGAGAATCAAAAGGATGTTCTATAAGGAAAATGTCACAGAAAATCTTGGACGGTTCTGGGACAACATTTTAAATCTTATAGAATCTGTAAACTGTTCTATCAAAAATTGAAATAAACAGCAAAAGTTCCTTTAAGATTCCTTGTTTCTATAGTCAAAATATAAATAGACTTTTTAGAATTAATCTCTATAAACTGCGAATATGTCATATTTAAGGAATCAAGATTCATAAAGTTTCAGAGAAAATATATCGGAGATTGTAAAAATGATCTCTTAAGGGGGCACCAAGCACTACGACCCAAGTTAAGATCTTTTGTGCAGCCCTTCTGGTTCACCATTGGTGATTTAGTTCACGTATGAATCTTAATGTTCTAGACGATTGCTAATAATGTTTCTTTGAAAATCTAAATGTCTTACAGATTTTGAGTTTCAATAAACAAACTTTTAGAAGCAAAATTAATTGTTTTAGCCGATAGTCGGCTTATTCGTTTATTATTCGCCTCCAAGTCCTGTCTGGACCTAAAGTGTTTGAAGGCTGACAATGTACAATTAAAAAATAAAATTGACAATAGTTCATAATATAGATTAATTTCGTTCAATATAGGATCAATAGTGTTAAGGCATGTAAACAGAACAGGTACAACTGAGCTACTGGTTGATGAATATCGATCGGTAGCTACCGCCCGCATTGTTAATGATCTGATCGAATAGATTGCTAAATATTCTGTTTTAGTTACGTCATACAGAATCAACAAATATCTCTCACTAGGTTGGCCCCGTTTGTATGAAGGAAAAATTAGGTATCAATGTTTCCAATTAAACTTTCGATTCTAAGATATCGTTTCTCAAAATTCTGGTCCTGCCTTCAATATTTGGTGAGTTATATCAAAGGATAAAAAAGTCCTTTTTGAGGTTTTAATGATTTTAATAAAATTCCTTATTTTTAAGGTTTTCATGATTTTTTTTCATATGTCTTTCAAAATAAATATGTATATGAAATTTTGGTATCATAAGAAAGCTTCTTTGTTTAACGATAAAAGTAATTGAATTTTACCGAAATTCTATATAAAATTTTGGAAAACCTAAAAGGACCAAAAAGGATCTTTTTATCCTCTGCTCCAGCTAACCAAATATTGACGTCAAGGCAAACATATTGAGAAATGGTGTCTTAGAATGAAATAAATTCTCTTTTCCAAGAGGAAGATCCGCAACATCAATTTTGGGGCCAACAATCGAGAGTAGTTTGGAATTTTTACAACATTTGTCTACGACGATTCATTATTAAAGCTATTTCTTTCCGTTAAAAAATCTCTTTTTCGAAATATTCCTAACATAAAGGACAAATTCTAAACTTTAATTTCAATAGAATTCAAAACATTTCTTTTTTCCGAAAAATCGATAATTGTAGAACCTAAAAATATGAACTTAAATGAAAACAATACAAAAATTTCGAATCAGATTTATTAATTTATACGCTTATAGTTTTAACCAATTTGTTTATTAAAGTGTATTTTGCCTTAAGTTAATTTTTAAATTTTAAATTGACCATGAAAAGAGACAAAGAGAGACGACATTGAGAGCGTTAGAACACTAATTTGGTTGATGCATAAACTATTTAATCAATTTCATATAATATTTTTATTAAATTTAACATAATTTTTTTTTATTAATTAATGTTAATTTATCAAATACATTAAATAACATTTATTTCAAAGTTATATTGTAATTAAATAAAGTAAAAAAAGACGGAACTTCTTTTTTTTTTTAATTTTGGATTTGATTTATTATATCTAAAATAAATTTAAACCATAATTTAATGGTTTATTTATCTTTAAAACACTCCCTTTAGCTAGAAAAAGCTTACAATGTCATTTCATTTAAATGTTTATAAAGTTTTTTTCTCTTCTCTTCGCTGTTTAGTTGTTGTTAAATCTCAAAATTTATACTAAATATATAAATAATAATTGATTTTATTTCATAATAATAACATTATTTATATATTTCTCTCTGTTTTGTTATAGTGTGTGATTTTTTTTTATTTTATTAAATTTTCTATTTTTGTTTTTGCTTTACTAATTCAATTTTAATTGAATGTTGTATTATAAATATTTTATTTAATTTATAACAATTATTATTTAATTTTCTGTATTATAAAAAATAAAGAAAACATATTTTGTTAATTTGTTATTTTAAAATTCTTTAATTGATTTTCATATATTTTTATTTGTTTTATTTTGAATTTGTATGGGTTTTTAGTTAAATATTTTTTTATAATTTTTAATATAATATATACTTTGTTTTTTATAATAAATTTACTAAGGAATTGAGTTTGTTCCAGTGTGTTTTAGTTCATTTCTTTTGGGTTTATACCTTTTTTATAAAGTCAAGTTTGTTTTTTTAAACCAAAATTTTTTTAACATCATGCTTCCATTTAAAGTTGTTAAAATGAGGTTTTGCCAAAAATGTAATTACCGGGAGCAGAGGGATCTTCAGATGAGAAATATTCTTCCCACAAGGCAGCAAATTGTTCACGTGTTACTTCCTCATTACCCTGGGCCATTTTGGCAAAGGCCTCTTCGCATTCTTTCTTCTCCAAACCATAGCTGGAGCAGACTAAAGCAAATTCGGAAACATCAATACTGCCATCGGTAGAAGCATCTTCTAGATCGAACATAAAATTCATGTACTTGTTTTGCCAGTCCATAACAGTGCTGGGATCTTTGGCATAAGCGTCCCACATGTTGCACCATTCTTCGACGGAAACCTAGAAAAAGATAAATAAAATATATACATATTTTGTTTTAAAATATTTTGTCTATATATGTATGTACATCAGACTGTCCCGAGGAACAGCTTTTGTAGGAATACATGACTATAGACTAGACTATAGTCTAGTCTATAGTCTAGTCTATAGTCTAGTCTATAGTCTAGTCTAAAGTCTAGTCTATAGTCTAGTCTATAGTCTAGTCTATAGTCTAGTCTATAGTCTAGTCTATAGTCTAGTCTATAGTCTAGTCTATAGTCTAGTCTATAGTCTAGTCTATAGTCTAGTCTATAGTCTAGTCTATAGTCTAGTCTATAGTCTAGTCTATAGTCTAGTCTATAGTCTAGTCTATAGTCTAGTCTATAGTCTAGTCTATAGTCTAGTCTATAGTCTAGTCTATAGTCTAGTCTATAGTCTAGTCTATAGTCTAGTCTATAGTCTAGTCTATAGTCTAGTCTATAGTCTAGTCTATAGTCTAGTCTATAGTCTAGTCTATAGTCTAGTCTATAGTCTAGTCTATAGTCTAGTCTATAGTCTAGTCTATAGTCTAGTCTATAGTCTAGTCTATAGTCTAGTCTATAGTCTAGTCTATAGTCTAGTCTATAGTCTAGTCTATAGTCTAGTCTATAGTCTAGTCTATAGTCTAGTCTATAGTCTAGTCTATAGTCTAGTCTATAGTCTAGTCTATAGTCTAGTCTATAGTCTAGTCTATAGTCTAGTCTATAGTCTAGTCTATAGTCTAGTCTATAGTCTAGTCTATAGTCTAGTCTATAGTCTAGTCTATAGTCTAGTCTATAGTCTAGTCTATAGTCTAGTCTATAGTCTAGTCTATAGTCTAGTCTAGTCTATAGTCTAGTCTATAGTCTAGTCTATAGTCTAGTCTATAGTCTAGTCTATAGTCTAGTCTATAGTCTAGTCTATAGTCTAGTCTATAGTCTAGTCTATAGTCTAGTCTATAGTCTAGTCTATAGTCTAGTCTATAGTCTAGTCTATAGTCTAGTCTATAGTCTAGTCTATAGTCTAGTCTATAGTCTAGTCTATAGTCTAGTCTATAGTCTAGTCTATAGTCTAGTCTATAGTCTAGTCTATAGTCTAGTCTATAGTCTAGTCTATAGTCTAGTCTATAGTCTAGTCTATAGTCTAGTCTATAGTCTAGTCTATAGTCTAGTCTATAGTCTAGTCTATAGTCTAGTCTATAGTCTAGTCTAGTCTAGTCTATAGTCTAGTCTATAGTCTAGTCTATAGTCTAGTCTATAGTCTAGTCTATAGATGGTCCACGGGACACCATGAATATATTTTTAAACGCTTAAAAGTATGCTGTTATTCCTATCGGATTAACCCCCTTAAAGGATGCAACCATTATGTTGTATTGCAATAAATAGTCTAGTGAGTGCACCGCCTTTTTATTACTCTTCAACTCAATTTCTGCACTCATTTAAATCACAATAACAGTTTAATTTGGGCTATCACAAATTACCTATTCATAGATTTCATATTGTAATCCTATAATCACAAAAGTATTTCCTTTTCCTTTTGATTGTCTAACGAAATGACTCGCCATGATGAGAATTAAACAAAGAAATGTCGTTTTCCTTTCATCACCAACAATTTGCTTGTTACGAAAACAGTTGCATATTTTCCGATTTTCAAAGAAACAATTTTTTTTTGAAATGAAGCTATAATCTACACAGTACAAAATCAATTTCCTGAAAACTAAGTACAAAAGAAATATCAACGTCGTATTTCTAAAAATACCCCAATCATCATACTCAAAGTAGGCTTTATTTAAGAAAAACTAAACAGTTGTGAATTGTTGTAGCATAAGCAATTGACAATTCCAGATAAACTAAACTTTGTTTACAATAAATGTTCTTGAAATAAACTTTAAAACAACTATTTACACAAAATAAAACAAAAATATTATTATTGTTGTTTTTTATTAAAAAAAATGTGAAACTAAATAATATAAACAAAGATAACAAAATTAAAACTAAAAATTTACCAAAAACTAGGCTACAGTTTAAAAGAGCAAACAAACAGAAGTAAATGCATTTAAAATATCTTTTGTTTTACCAGCCCCTATTGATATGTTATCAAATATTTTTTATATATTTTGATTTTTAAGAGTTTCTTAAAAAATTTAACCTCCTTTCACATAAATTGGTATTTATTAATATTTGTCTGCTGTAGGTTTTTTTGTTTGCCGCCTTAAAAATATTTAAATAAAATTTATTGTTTCGGTCCTGTAAAGTACACTTAAGGGTCAGTAGTTTTTTGGCTATAGTTTTACTCTATGGCTATTTGGATGATATGTTGCTGGCGCTGATACTGGTACTGCTGCTGCTGCTTCTGGTTTGTGCTGTTATTGAATTCAATATACAACAAGGTCATTATAAACATGCCATTTATTTACTCTTCTTTGGTTTTTAAGCCCAACTGTTTTATAGGCTTTCAACATTCAACCAGTGTACTTGGATATTAATATCTACTACCGTTTACTCTACTCGCATGTTGTTTTTGGGGTTTTTGGTTGTTAGTTTGTAGGGTAGCAAACCCACCCCCGATTAAAAGTAATTGGTTTAAGCCAAACCACAACATATAAACATTAGATGCATGTTTTTTTCTTCTGAATGGCCTCATTTGTTATACATTCATTTGGTCAACATGAACAGCAACAATACACATGTAGCTTTAAACATACACTCACGTACACTTCTACATAATCTCAACACTTTTATTATTAAACATTATGTTATTCCTTCCTCTGCCTCCTCCTACTCCCTTTGCCTACAATTTTAACCTGACTAGCCAAACATTAGTAACAACAAAAAGCCCATTTATTCCAAACACACATGAATTGATATATTTTTTTATGCAAAAAAAAAAAATCCTATTCGACATAAACAATTACAATTCATATGAAATTTTTGTATAATAAATCTGAAACCATTAACACTCTCACACTTATTCACCTCCAACCTTTGCTAAAAGGAGAAAAGGTGTAATAAAATGTCTACAATTCCAAACAAAAGAACAAGAGTTATTGCCTACTTTTAGGTTGTATTTTATTATTTTTTTCAAAGAAATATATTTATATAAAATTGGTTAAAGTCAGCCCTTAATACTTGTTGAAATATGTATGTAGCTTTTGTAATACATTTTTTATTGTGCGCTTCATTAGTTAAAATATTAGTTAAGGTTTTTTATTTCATAGGTAACATATAGAGAACAATTAAATACAGGATAGTTTTGTTGTGTTTTAATTACTAGAGAAGCTATAAATCTTGTAATGTTAAATGATCAGGAAAAATGTCGCAAAACTACTTAAGTTTTAATTAAGTTATTTTTTGTACCCTACACCACTATAGTGTTTGTAATAACCCAAAATTAGTCCAATATCAAATGCCATGTCCGGCAGTCGACTGGATTCTATTAGATTAGAATAGAGGTGGCTTGATTCGAATTGAATATAGTCTAGTTTTTTAAGGACGGACTGTTCAAATCAGTCGAATTTTGGTTATATTCTAAATATATTTCTTTGGAATTATAATTAAACGTTGTCCGTCTGTTTGTCTTTATGTCTGTCTTTCTTTCTGAATGTCTGTATGTATGTCTGAATGTATGTCTGCCTGTATGTCTGCATGCCTCCCCATCGGTCAGTCTGCTGGTCTATCTGTATATACATATGTAAGAATTTTATTTCAGTTTCCGAAGAATACTTAATACAGTTTGTGTAACCACAATGAAAATTTTTGTTTACGTTAATACAACAAAAAGTTTCGTTAAGAAATCGTTGTGAGATTGAAATACTTTCATTAAAATAATGATATATATTGTCAATATAATGATATATAATTATTATAAGTATGATACATTTCATTTGATTAGTAAAGGAGCATAATCTGTTTACGAAACAATATAGTAGAATCAATGATAAAAATTCTTTATTATAATGTAAAACTTTCATTATATAAATGAAGGATATAATAAGATTAATTGCAATAGTTTCGTAACATTAATGAAATATGAATTATATAACAAAAACCATAAAATGAATGATTTCCGTCATTTTATTAATGAAACATTTTCATTATGTTGACGAAATTTTATCATCGGTTTAACATTATAAATACGTATGTTGACGTTACTTATATATTCTGTATTAATGACATAATATCAATATATTTAGGAAAATTTTTCGTTAAAGCAAAGACACCTATTAACGGAGTTGAATTTTACTTAAATTCCAAAGTATTTAAGCAATTTATTGATAAAAAAAACAAATCTTCTAAATTAGGCTTTATATAGGAGTATAGGCCAAACATGGGCCGATCCTCATTTAATTTGGGAAAAGGATATATTTTTAAATAACAGTTAGTTATGTTGAGTTTCATTGCGATACAAATGGTCAATTTTACAAAAGTCAATTTTAGACGTTTAAAAATTTTTTGAAGGGGAGTTTGTATGGGGGCTAGGGTCAAATAAGGGCGGATTATTACGAAAATCTGCAGTGTCATTTATACGTATAAAAAACTGATTTGGAGGGATATTTGACGTAATTATGGCATAAAAAGCCCAAATCGGGAGGTACGGTTGTAAAGGGGCTAGGTTAAATAGATGACCGATTTCAACCATTTTGCAATAGGCTTCGTTCCTGTACGAAAAAACATGTTTGGTCCAAATTTCATCAAATTATCTTGAAAATTGCGGCCTGTACCTTGCGCACAAAGTTTACATGGACAGCCAGCCAGCCGGACAGACGGACGGGCGGACGGATGGACATGTCTTTATCGACTCAAGAAGTGATTCTGAATCGATCGGTATACTTTAAGGTGTAAGACCAATATTATTACAAACATCAGCACAAACGTATAATATCCTTCCCACTATAGTGGTGATGTTAATCAGACCACAGTCATTGCTAATGGATATGCAAGGAAAAGAACCTTAGTCTAAGATTATTAACAACTGTGCAACCCTACCAAAACTACCTTACAAAG